CTCGAAGGTGGGATGCTCACTTGCCACAGGCAGAGGGAGGAGGGAGCCCCACTAGGAGCCAGCCTCGGCCCTGACTCGAGGGTCCCCTCCATCAGGAGATTGGAAGAGGGACTCCCGAATTCTCTGGCCCTCGTTCTGCTCTGCTGTCTGCTGGGGGCTCCAGGTGCGAGCCCAGCGTGGAGCTCTGACCTCAGGCTCCATGCAGCTCCGGCCGCAGGTACGGCCAGTGTCCCCGGTCACTGCAGCGGCAGTTCTGACACCATGGGTTTCATCCTTGGCTCTTGAGGACAGCGGTGAGGTTGTGGCCGCTGCCGCCAGTCTCGGCCCCCAGGGCAGTTTAAGTCAGGGTTGAGGAGACTTGCACTGTGGTCTTTGTACTTGAAATGCTGGTCCATGAGTGCATCCCCCACTCTTCGTCTGGTTGTCCTTTGGGTCTTTGGTGCTGGGTGAATGGTCTTCAGTGACTTCTCCTGCTTCCTCTGTGGGTTAGGATATGTCATCCTCATTCTTCAGTGACACCATGAGCAGCTTTCTCTTACTCTGTGCCTTTGAACATGTCGCTTCTTCCCTGAAATGCCCTCCACTCATGCCCTGATTGGCGTTAGGATTCTCTCAAGGTGGAATCGAGCGTTGCTTCAGCGGAGACACCCTCTGCAGCCCGCCCGTCCTCCGTGGGTGTTGGGCGTCTGTCCTCTGGGTTCCCACGCCATAGGTCAGAGCACGACACACCTCACCCATGGGAAACGGCCGATGTTTCTCTCTGCCACTACAGCACACGCTCTGTGAGGAATAGAACAATTTCCATCCACGTATTCCCGGCAACCAACAGAGTGTCGGCTACAAGCAGACCTAAGGGAACGTGTGAGTAGTTCCACAGTCAGACCTCTGAAACCGCTTCCTGTTGTGGGGCAGGAATCCCGTCTTCATAACTGGGAACTGGAAACCAGAACGTCTGCTCCACGCCGCGTTCCCAGCGGTCTGTGGAGTCGTATGATCTCGAGGAACAACGTTAGGACAACGTTACGAGAAGGTCTCCTCAAGACCCTTTTTTGTCTTCCTGGCATTTACATCCTGTATCTGATCAGAAATATTAGTGACTTGGATGAACTGTTCACGGTAATGAGCCGTTCCTAATGCAGTGCCGATGGAGCCCCTCGCTCCAAGGTCACGGCGCTGTGCATACGTTACCTGGACTGTGTCCAGAATGCGCCTGAAGTAGGGCCACTGCCCTTTCAGAACTCGCCAGGGTCTGAAAATTGAGATCTCTGTGAAGTCGACTTTCACACCCTTTGCACCCAGGAAAGACGGAGCAGAGTTCAAGTCTTCAGTGGCAGCAGCGGCTTCATTATCGTCATGCGTCGCTTAACCCCGGGGACACATTCTGAGAAATGCGTCATTAGGCACTGTCGTCGCCGTGCGAACATCACTGGGTGCACTTACCCAAACCCAGACGGTCCCGCCTACCGCGCACCTGGGCCAGGCGGTACAGCCTGTCACCCCCAGGCCACCAGCCTGCACGGCCCGTCACTGCACGACACAGCACAAGATGAAATCAAGCACCGAGGGAGACGACGGGTCGGGTGTGGTACGCAACATGAGGCCACTGCTGAGTAGAAAGTGTATTCTCTAAAATAGCGGTAAAAAGTATAGCTTAGTGACATTGGAGCGATGCGTCGCACTAAGGTGCTGCAGTGGCTACGAGGTCCTGGGGTGATAACAGTGGTTCGTCCCCATTATGATCTCCCGGGACCACCCTCACGCGTGCAGCGTGTCGGTGGCCGGAACGTCCTCGCACAGTGTGGCCGAGCCCGCTGCTGGGCGTCTCGGGCCAGGAGCTGAGCTGATTCTCTCAGCCGCCGCACCGAAGCCGAGAGGCAGGGCTTCGTGTGATGCCGGTCGTGAAGCTGCGCAGATCAAGTGCCCGGGGCATTCAGAGGCGGGAGATGACTTTCGCTGAGGGGACGTTGCGGGCACCTTCAGACGAGTGTCTGGCGCTGGCGCCAGCACCGAGGGAAGCCTGCACGTCCTCCTCACGGCCTCACGCGTCCTGGTCCCACGTTGGGCGTTTTGTGGGGACTCAGGGTGATAGAGGGGGCAGCCCGGGTGGGGGTGGGAAGCTCAGCTCTGATCCCAACTCCACCGTTAGCCAGCCGCGTGTCCTTAGTGGTGTCACCGAGTCCCCTCAGACCTGTAATTTGCGAGCACTGGACTACATGGCTGCCGGGGCCCTTCGCAGCGTTAGGCCAGAATGATTCTGCCCTGACAGCTCCCAGACGCCCTCCGCCAGACCCCGTACACGTCCCAGATCGGCCCGAGCGCTCACAGCACTCTGTGTGACGCCGATCACCGTGCTCCTCCCTTACGTGTGTGCGTGTCATCCACTGGGACGGAGCGTCGGCTCCCTGCGGGCGTCACGTAGAGCGAGGGCGTCACATGTCCCCTACGCGGTGTCGGCACACGGATTGTACTTTACCCCGCGAGTCTCATCCAAGTCTTTCCGGCACATCAGTCTCTGTACGAGTGTTTTATTGTCAAACCCAAAAGGACACTTGGACGTTTTCATCGTAGCGTCCAGCGGCACTCACTCTGACCACCTCGTTCTTGAAACGGTGCCCACGTGGCTCCTGCGGGACCGGCGGCTGCTGCCCCTCTGGCTGCCCTCTGCTCTGTCCTCTCAGACTCCATGGTTCTGTCCCTGGCTTGTGGCTCTCTTCACTCTTCAGTCCCTCTCTGGGCAGCTTCGCCCACACCCGTGGCCTTGCCGCCCCCTCTCTGGACCAGTGCCACAGCATGGTACGCACAGCCCCTTCTCTCTGATCCACGGTCACGCTGCATGCAGCCTGTCCAGGCCTGCGCTCATCAGTCTCCGCCCAAAACGACCCTCTCGTGTCTTTCCTACTCGAGTGAAGATCCTGCAGCATGCCTACCTAGTTCCCGCCCGGTCCCCACAGCCAGCCAGCTGCTTCTGCAGCCTGGACCTCCATCAGTTCCACAGGGGTGTTTGCCGCAGCCTCCTGGCTGCTCTGCCTGCCTCCTGCCTCCCTCCTGTAATGTAGCTTCCCCTGTAGCCGAAAAGGACTCTTCTAGAATTTAAATTTGAGCTTGCTGCCTTGGCCGCTTACATCTTCTATACCTGACCGTTGGCTTTTAGAGAAAATTTCCGTTTCTTACACAAGGCCTCCTGAGACCCGGATGCCCACTGCCTTCGCGGCCTCTTCGGTGCCCGTCCCCACACAGCTTTTGGACGACTCGCCGTGGGGAACTGTGCTCTCTCCCCCCACAGTCTTCACGCAGGGAATCCCATTGGTTTGCAAGGCCATTCCCCCTCCTCTGCGGGCAAGTCCAGTGAGGCCTTTAGGACGTGACTCAGATGCCACGTTGGCTAAGCAGCCGTCCGTCCCCTCACCTGCAGAAGGCAGCGCCTGCCCCCCAGGGCTCCCGCTCCATCTCGTCCCTGTCTCTGTCACCGTGCTCACCATGTTGCTGGGGGGCAGGGGGCGCAGTTGTCACATCAGTCTCCCCACTACGGCGGGCGCCCGAAGGGTCTGCACCTCCCCTCGTGGCTTCGTTCCCCACTTCTTCGCCTGGAGCCGGGGCCCAGTGGGTGCTTCATACGTGTTTGCTTCATGAGTGGACAAAATCAAAGACCCAGTCCGTCTCCTGGAAACATTTTTTTTTTTTTTTGGTCAGGAGGCCATATCAGGAGTCTCCACAGTCGATTTTGCCGCTTAGGCATACCTTCCAGGCTTTTGAGAAAAGTCCGGCCTACTTACCCCTAAACATTCCATCCTCATTCTAGACTCTCATCTGCAAATCGAATAGATTAACGAAGGCAGCGGGAATACGAGCAGACCCCACACCTCAGGGCCTATGTTCTATGCATAAGAGCATCTTGCCTTTGAGAATAAACAAAGCAGCTCTGAATTATTTAGCCTCTCCTCCCCTGACAGTACTCCCTCTTCTCTCTTCCTCTTGTGTTTTGAAGACCCTGGCAGGCTTTAGCTGCACATGGTCCCGACAATAATTTCCCATCATTTAAGTACCAGAGCCAAGTACCATTCCCGTTTCATGTAAATTAGATAAAACCCAGAGCTGTGGCTCGCAGGCGATGCAGGTCCACTGGGGAAATTAAAGGTTCAACGAGAACGGGGCCCATTATGATAAAAGCATTTGCACAGCCAGTGATTCCATCTACCCTGTGGCTCTGATGCTCCTTGGAGTGGGATGAAATATGAAGCGAGAGGACCTCGGAAAGTCGTTTGAGGAATTTGTTTTCACTGGAAATGGTGGCAGCATTCTGTGCTCGGCGTCAAGTCTGCAGAGGGCCGGGGAGCGCCCGGACGGGCCGCGGTTCCGTATCCGGACGCCGCTGTGTGTGCGAGGTTCTTTCGACTCCGACAGACATGCCGAGTGAACGTGACCGTGAGGCCCTCGCCTCCCTCGCCCCCTCCCTGCTGCATTCCGACAGCGGCCCCGCCTTCCCGGCCCCCACTCTGCTGTAAGATCGGTAAACGTGGCATCGTGGCACCTAAGTGATGAAGCGCTTCCCATGCACTTTCTCACTTAGTTCCCGCAGCCCCACCGCGTGGGTGTCCCCCCCCACCCCGGCCCCCGGTCTGGTAGATGAGGAGACTGATGCTCAGAGAGGTGAAGACCCTTGCCCAAGGTCGCGTAGCTACAATGAGCGGCAGGACCAGAATGACCTCTGAGATGCCAGCAGCAACCACGCTGAGTGGCAGAACCAGGTTTCAAACTCAAGGGTGAGGGCAGAGCCCAAGCTTTAGAAACACTGTGTCCCAGAGCCCTGTGACTTAAGGGGGCTCTTGTTCCTGATCGTAAAACAGGCTTGCATTTTGCCGTGGTCCCTTTCACCTGAGAGAGGGCTCGTTATCGTGAGTCTTGTTAACAATGTCAGTTGTCAAGTTTAATAGCGTGAGATTTCTGAGACTGTTTCGAAGGTTGTTCAATCTGCCTTTTCTTTCTCACTTTTGTATTTTTAGATGCATCATCCCATTCAGATGAAACCTGCAGATAGTGAAAAGTCAAACGGTAGGTGGTAACCGACTGTCTCATTTAATGTCTGTTTCTTTACGTCGGGAAGTCAGCTGGGGGTGTGGTGTGGCGGGGGGAGGGTGGTGACCACAGCCCCAGTGGCTTTTTCTCTTGGAAAGGCAGAGAGAACTCCGGGAAACTCACCCCATGGCTAGCACGCTCCTGCCTCGTCTTCCTCTGCTGTAAGATCTGTGACGATGCTACCCGAAATGGTTTTTCATGTCTCTCAGTTGGGGGCTCTGTGTGGCCCTTGGCTCTTGGTTGATCTGCTCCCACAGAGCAGCACGGGCCACCTGATGGAGAGGAACAACCTTACACCATGCAGCGAGGAGCGGGAAAGGGTGGCCCACTAAGAACTAGGCTGTCGCCCATTCGCTCCTTCCCGTGGGGCACTGTCTCGCCACACTCTTCTCTAAATGGTACCGATGCATTCGCGTCCACCTTCATTCGGAATTCAGCCCACCGATTAAATAAATGCACACTCAGTGCAAAAATATGCATTCGATGAGGTCCGGGGAATAATTGAGATTTGACTCTCCACGAAACGAGAGGGTCGGTAGCCACATCTCTCTCTAAGTTTTTGCTTCCATTTTTACCCACCTCCTGCCCCTGTTGTGTTTCAGAGTGTCCTGAGATGGTTGTTAAAGGACTCGCCCACCTTCTCCCACCCCAGAGCTTCCCCGTCCCACTAGACTGACGTGACCACGGTTTCCTGCCCCAGGCAGCTCTGCACCTCATTAATTAGTAATCAGGGCAGAAGCCATGCTCTGAGAGAGCTGCATCTCCGCACATGTAAATGACGAGCGGGCTTTAAATCTCTCCACGAGATATTTCTTTGCTAATTGCGGTGCATCCTATTTTCTGGCTTCTCAGGCTGAGAGGTTTTGAAGAGCCGTCCATGCCGTACCGTGGGCTGCTAGCACCCGACCTGCGTGTCGGGGACAGACGTTAGTGCTTTGCTCCCCGGCCACCAGCTTCTCATCAGCCACACACCTCTCTGGGAGTGACTTCCCTATTCCCTCCACTGCTTTATCACAGACATAGCATTCAGCGCCGGAGGGTCTAAAATCTGCCACTGCTTTGTTGCGGGACCTCGGTCAAGTCACTTCGTTCCTTTACGCGATAGTTATTCATTGATTACTCACTGCGTGGCAGGCGTGTTGCTGGCTGGGGCTGCAGGA